CTTCATATAGAAACCTGTGATACAAATAAACTGAGTGGGTCAGGTTGGGAAACCTGGTGAGTACATAGGGTTTTCAACCCATAATAATATAATTATTATGTTTAAACATCAAACAATCAACCCAATTACCCATCCCCATTATCTTCTTTATTCTTAAGGATCTACCCAAAGAATCATCTATTCCTCGTTCATTCATTCCTAAGGATCATCCTAAGGAATTGGAACGAAGTCCATCGTTGCCACGATTTACACAACGGGCACTAAGTCTGCATAGTCGCCAGGGTTTAGGCACCAAGTCTGCATGGTCCCCAGGGTTTAGGCACCAAGTCTGCATGATCTCCAAGGTTTAGGCACCAAGTCTGCATGATCGCCAAGGTTTAGAGTACAGCGGGTGAACACATCGTTCACAACACCTACAGGTTGCAAGCATGCTAATGTTCCACTAGATGTCTAGAATAGTCCGTGATTGTCATCCATACTCTTCTAGATGACGGGGCCATCGCTTTGGTCATCGTTTGGCTCATCGTTTTGGCTCATCGCTTTGGCTCATCGTTTTGGCTCATCGCTTCGCACCATATTTTATCACTCATATATCATCGCTCATCATTCATCTTATCTTTCATCACTCATCATTTATCTCATCTTTCATCGCTCATCATTTATCTCACCTCTAATCTACCCATGTTTTACCCAACACATTTTGTAGATATAAAATACATATACAGTTTAGATCATTTAAAACATGTATAAAACGTTTCATCCAGCATAGATAACAACTATTCAGACAGTATACACACATAGCACGTAATTTATATAAAATACATCATATCTATGTGTGAGATGAAAGTAACTATGCACTCACTTGTTAAGGTGGTGATTCCGAACTCAGACAGTGCTTTGCTTCTTAAAAATAATTTCCTTCGACGAAACCTAGTATTATTACCACTAGATTTTAGTCTAATCTTTACCGTGACTAATTATTAGTCTTATTATTATTATTATTATTATTATTATTATTACTTCTAGATCGAGGCGTACACGATCACATGCCCCATCTGCATCAAAACTGCCCCTAACCCCGAGATAGACGCATCACAATACACCACCAAATCAACCAATCCCTTGGGTAGCGCTAAAATCGGGGCCTCACATAACCTCTGTCTCAAGGTCTCGAAAGCCAACTGCTGGTCCGGGCCCCACCAAAAAGTCACATTCTTCTTGGTCAAGAGAGTCAAAGGTACGACGATATTAGAGAAATCCTGGATGAATCTCTGATAGTACCCCGCTAGACCCAAGAAGCTACCGATCTCAGATGCATTCTTCGGTACTTCCCACCGCATCACTGCCTCAATCTTGGCTGGATCAACCAAAATACCCTCTTGGTTGATGATGTTCCCCAAAAACTGCACCTCTCGCAATAAGAAATCACACTTTGAGAACTTGGCATAAAGCCTTTCCATCATCAGTGTCTCCAATATCTACATCAGATGCTGCTCATGCTACTCCTTGGTCTTAGAATAGACCAAGATATCATCGATAAAAATGATCACAGACCGATCCAACATCGGCCTACACACCCTGTTCATGAGGTCCATGAACGTTGTTGGGGCATTGGTGAGCCCGAATGGCATCACCACAAACTCATAGTGACCGTACCGAGTCCTAAAAGTTGTCTTCGGTATATCCTCATCCCTAATCGTCATCTGATGGTACCCCGACTGAAGATCAATCTTGGAAAACAAGATGCACCCTGCATCTGATCGAACAAATCATCGATCCTCAGAAGCAGATAATGGTTTTTCACCGTTAGCTTGTTCATCTCCTGATAATCGATGCACATCTTGTGTGACCCGTACTTCTTCTTCACGAACAGGATTGGTGCTCCCCATGGGGAACTACTTGGAGGAATAAACCCTCGGTCTAGCAGCTCCTGAAGCTGCGTAGATAGCTCCTGCATCTCGGGTGGAGCTAGCCGGTACGGTGCCTTAGCTATCGGAGCGGCACCTGGCACCAAAGCAATGCGAAACTCTACTTGCCTATCCGAAGGCACCCCAGGCACCTCTTCAGGAAAGACGTCCCGAAATCCCGTACAACTAGTACACTGCCCAAATCTGTTGTGGTCTCAACCCACATATCCGAGATATATGCCAAAAATCCCGAGCAACCCTGATGGAGAAGTCTCATCGCCCTCGCAGCCGAACAGAGGGTTGGCTCCTGCGAGGCCCTCTCCACATGAATAACCAGTTCTCCCCCACTTGGGGTTCGAACTGTCACCAGCTGGTGCTTGCAGTCTATCATGGCCCCATTCGCCCCTAACCAGTCCATTCTGACGATCACCTTCAGCCCTCGCAATGGTATCGGAACCAGATCGACACGAAATCTCTCCCCAAACACATTCAGGACACACTCCCGATATACCCTCGTAGCACTCACAGTGCGGTCATCCGTAATCTCAACCTCAAGAGGGGAATCCAAAGTCCCTGGAGCATCCCAAAACTTCTTGTTGAGTGCAAGAGATACAAACGATCGGGTGGCTCCCGAATCGAAAAGAACATGAGCCGACATACCATTGACCAACAAGGTCCCTATACAGGAGCACATATATACATAAGCATAAAAAATCAATATCAAATAGGAAAATAATTTACGTACAAGCCACGACGTCTGACGCTGCCCGAGCCTCCTCGGTAGTCAACTGAAAAGCGCGACTCTTCACCGCGGGAGCGTCCGCCTTGGCAGGGCGGCCATCAGTGATCCTCATTGTGGCGGGCGCAGGCGCCGCCACTCCTCCTCCTCCTCCCTGCAACCTCGGACAATCGGCCTTTTTATGGCCAGTCTGGTTGCAGTGAAAACAAATCAAGCCCTTCTTGGGGCAGTCTCTGAACACGTGGCCCGACTGACCACATGTATAACATACCGGGCCCATCACCCGACAAACTCCACTGTGCGATCTCCCACATTTTGCACACCAGTCACGGACTTGCTGTCGCCTACTCGAAGAAGTAGAGGTCTTAGGCTTTTTAGCCTGACCTACAGCTATCTGAACCTGCTCTGGCTTTCGCTTGGTGCGAAGCTCCAACTCCATCTCCCACTGTCGGGCCTTCTCCACCATCTCATTCAGGGTTTTGTACCCCTAAAAGCTCACGAACTCACGAATATCATACCTCAACATGGAATGATACCTCGTCATCCTCATATCCTCATCCGCAGCATACTGTGGAATCAACAGTGCTCGCTCCCGAAACTTGGTGGTGATCTCTGCCATAGTCTCGGTGGTCTTCTGTGGAACTCCCTCACTAACCGTTGCAGGTCAATGGATGGTGAAAACTCCAAATCAAAGCGCCTGACAAACTCCTCAAATGACATCTCATCCACCCCGGCTGATCCCACCTGGCTAGTCACCTCCTCCCACCAATCCCTGGTTCGATCCCTCAACATACACGAGGCAAACCCCACCTTAGCCGCCTCGGGGCAAAAGCTCGTGCGATGGGCATTCTAAATGTGTTAGGATTAAGATCCTTAATGATCAATTAGATTCAAGAACAGATAAATCAAGAACACAATAATGATTCAAGAATGTCGAATGATTAAACGTCACGCCTCAGAAGAACTCTATGAAGAATTGCTATTGTAGAGGCGTGATTAGGGTTACAGTGATAAAAAAGTTAACTAAAATACGATGCATGCATGAATCTTAAATACTCTAACCCTAGAATTAATAATGAGTGGACAGGCCCAACTCGATAATACAAAAGACTAAGTAAAAGGCCCAATGACGCAACATCTAATACTCAACAATCTCTCCTTTCGCGTCAATTGAGGCACGAAACCATTAGCCTTGGTTTTGCTTCTGAACATTGTAAACTTTGGGAATGATGCCAAAAATTGTCGGACAAACTTGCATGTACCACAAAATCATATCAGTTAAGCACTTAAGGTCATCCTTGTTGTTGCCTTTGTATTTGCTCACCAGATCCAAAATATACTCGAGGAAATTAGTAGTGAACAAATGCTTGTCAGAAAGGAAGAAACAGCCTCTAAGAAAGTCAGCACCGGTTCGTTCCCTAGATTGATACACCACATACCATTCCTTTCTGTAGATTTTCCCCAGCTTCAACTTCTCAAAATCTTTTGGAGATTCCTTAAGAACAGCAGAAGGCTTCTTTCGCAACATCGCTGCAACTTCTACGTCCATTTTCCCAATCTCTTTAATGTAAGACTTGATCATTATTTGGAGATGAGACATGACAGGTTCGTATTTGTCTTTTTCTTTCAGCAACATGTTGTAAAGAACGAACCAGTCATTGGGGTTGCCACAGGGTAAGTCAGCGAGAGTGAACTCGTAGCATTGATTGGTTGAACCTCTTGCAACTCTGAACTTCACGTTCGGAAAGCTGTCAGTCTCGATTGGTCCAGTGACTTTCACACCAGTTATTTTGCTCAGGGACCAAGTCTCGTATTGAGGCTTCATGTGCTTCAAATAAAACGAGAACAACATCTGATCAGCTCTGCTGTCCGTGATAGAAACATTCATAATTTTCACGAAAGCACGAAATCTAAAAGCCTTTGGAGTGATTGGTAGATCCAATTGCGAATCTTGTGTTTTTTGAAGATCAAAAGACACAATTGGCTCTAACCAATATTGGTTGGGTAAATCGAATGCATCATTCTGGATTCGCTTCATGGTCCTTTCGGGAAACAGAAGCTTCTTGCTTTGAAGAGTGGCCTGAGCCTATTTCTCAGCTCTTTCTTTTTCTTTAGCCTCTCGAATGATACGTTGGTGCTCATCCAGTTCAGCTTCACGAACTTTTCGTCTTTTCAGTTCGTTTTCATCAGGCACTTCTTCTTCTTCATTATCAATAAAGGGATCATTACTAAACAATTTTTCTTTGAGCTTAGGTTCTTTCTTGACAACAGGATGAACTGGAGCAACTGGTTTAACAGAAGCTTTGGGATCTACTTTCTTTGAGGCCCCTTCTCCCCCTTGTTTCGGAATGAAGCTAGATTCCGGAACACCCTCTAATCTGTGAAGCATAGCAAAAACAGGTCTCACCTTTTCAAGTGGATGCTTGCAAACTGTGATGGTGAGCATTAAATCCCTGGTCTCAAGGATATCTGAGAGCATGCCTGTAACATCAGAAATACAACTTCGCATGACAGCCCTCTCAGATAACAAGTCATTGACCTGTTTCTCTGAAGCTTCCAGTTTGGCACTTAACACTTTTGCTTCTTCTGACTTGAGTGCGAGAGAGTCCTTGATGTTACTCTCTTTTATCAGTTCGTCTTTAAGATGTGAAATTTGAGAGGAGATAGTGGCTTGAAATGTTTCATGGTCAGTTTTCAGACCAGTGCGAATCTCTTGTAGTTTTGTCTTCTCAGTTTTGAAGAGAGAGCCCAGACTCTTTAAAGCTTCATTGGCTGACGTGGTGTTGGAGTTGAAAGTGGTTTGGAAGTTTTCCATGAAAGTGGTAGTTTCAGCAATTAGTTTATCGACTTTTTCGGTCGTCGTCTTGAAAACTTCAGCGGAATCAGCAACAGCCTTGTTCATCTTGTCAGCATTGGCTGTATGCTCCTTCGAGATTCGTTCAAAGAGTGAATCAACCGTGGCTTTAGCATATGCATCAGAAGAGGAAGCCTTGGCAGAGAGAATTAGTTTTTCAATATTTTCATGAAGGGACTGAAGTTGCCGTTTCGTAACTTGCACTTCATCTTCACTCTCAGTCCGGATTTGAAAAGGATTGTAAGTAAACCCCCTAAGATCTTCGTATTCATCATCACCAAAGACCATTTCTGGGTCATCTTGGTTAATAGGGGAAACATGATGAGAAGTGTGAGACGAGAGACCTGAAGTTTTAGCCACCTGTATCAGATACGTTGACTGAAACAAAAGGTGGGGTTGAGGTAGTAGGAGGAACTGTTGAATCAGTGAACAGTGGGATGGAGAGAGGAATCTGGTTTGTTGTTGTGAAGATACTGGTGGAGGTCATGGAGCAATGGTAATTAGGATAGAGGTGGTTTTAAGGGAAGGAGGTGGAGAAGGAACATAATCATTGAAAGTTGGAGTTACCTCAGGATTGGATGTCTCCTCTGTATTATGAACGATTTCATCTTTATTGTGAACGTTAACATCCTCCTCGACGTGAATGTCTGACTGAGTGTCAAACTCCGAACCTTCGCTTGCACTTGGTGTTGGGGTCTTTCGCTTGCGAGCAGGCTGCTTTCGCTTTTTGGGATTGGCTGCAGAAGGAGCAGTTTTCGCCTTTCGCTTCTTTGGAGTGACAGCTGGCTCAGATGGACCCTCTTTCGTTTGCTTTTGCTTACCTCCCTTTTTTACTTTGTCAGCTTCATCAATTGTCAAGCGCATCTCAGGATTAATGGTGCGAGCTCCAGAAGATGGAAGCTTTTTGTATTCCTCCAAATTTTTGCTTGCAGCTGGAACACGACGAAACATGGACTCCGGAATGGAACCAACAAAGGGAAACTTCGAGTTGTCAGCAATAATGATCTTGGTTATGTGAAAAGTAGCAATCGAAGACATCATGGAATATTTCATCATGGGAATTTGGTGTTTTTATATTGCCCTTTGAACAACAATGGTCCAAAAAACGAGCACAGGAAATCTCACTGTGTCGTGTTATGGAGTGAGTACTTTGCACCAGTTGAGCCCATAGAACAGTGCCATAATCAAGGTTCATGTCGTGGTAAAGACCATACATCAGAGTCATGAAGAACTTACTGGCACAGTCTGAACCTATGACTCTTTCAGAAAAGGCTTTGAAGAGAAGAGTGAACAAACCATTCCATTGAGGAGGCAAGTTGGGTTTTCTGAACTTGGAGATTGAAGGAATGAGATCTTTATACCCAATCTCATAGAACGTCTCTAAAATAGCTACGATGGAGATTGAGTCTGGATTCACCAAGGAGTCATCGTATGCAAGCCCTATCAGAGAACGGAACCTTGAATTGGTGATAGAGGTTTTCTTGTCAGAGATTTCGAAGGTGATGCGTTCTTCTTCCTTGATGTACGATGCAGAGGAATAAGCCTTCGAGAGTAGAGACATTGGGACGCACTCAACCTTAGTTAAGGCATTGACCAGAGGGGAATACTTCAGGCATTCAATGATGGGTAGCATGAAAGAATCGTACTTGAATGGGGAAAAATCAAGAATCAAGTTTTGATTCTGTTTTGATGGCAAGCAGTGATGAGTGAGCGGTCTGATCATGAACTACTGAAGAAACAGCCATTGTTGCAGGTTGATGAAGAAGAAGAACAATAGAGAGAAATTGTCGTTAGGGTTCTTGAGAGAATTTGATAGTGGTAAAAGGTAATGATGTGAATTAAAATCCTTTTATACGATTACGCAGGAGAGAGAATTTGAAGCATCGATTGATTGATTTCCTTTGAAACGACGCCTGAAAAAGCGGGATTTGACAACTGTTGCCCCGATAAAGGTGTCAGACGGCGTGATAAGTGGAAGAGTTTCAAATTCCACGCGCCTAAATTTCAAAATTTTATCCACCAACAGTGCTTCATCATTATCTTGTTATCATCCTTTCAATCTCCATTCATTGCAGTAAATATCCATACCGCCGTTCGTATTTAAGACACAAGGTAACTTGTGTGTATTACACTGAGCATCATTGAATCTGTGAAACTGAAAATGCCATGAGTGTCACAAGCAGACTTTAGGAAAATCAGAGAGATCTTCGTGCGAGAGTGTGCCAAAGAAAAAGAAATAAAGCAAGATATATATGTGGGATATTAGTGATGTATTAAAAGACACGAAACTATAGATCCCGGGTAATGATCTCTTCCTTCAAAATCAAGAGAGACTAAGAAGTGTCTGTGTGGCTTCCCATTGAAATACGATCAAATGTTTGACAAGAAACATTGAAAGGCATCTTTTAATTAGGCTCAATGGGTGGCTAACTTTCCAACCAAACAACGAACTTGACATAAGAACGAATGTTGGATGAACTACTCGTGTGACCGGTGTAGTCAGTTAAACGAGTAGGTGAGGAATTATTTTAGTTACAAGATTAAGCTTTTGAAATCTCAAAAAAAATTTGGATATTATGGGAAGAAGTAACTTGGAACCAGAACACTTCATAAAGATCTTGCAAAAGAAAAAGAGATTCCTTGATACATACCACAAAAGTGGCTTTCGTTAATTCCATGGTGAAAATCTAGAACATTTAATTGTTCACCGTCAATTCATGTAAGTGTGTTGGATTTGGGGTTTCACTTAGTTCGTGGTGAACGAAACTAAGATCATTAACACAGATGTTGTGCAACCATAAACCTCAGTGATATTGCTAAGAGTCTCAAGGGTTACATTGATGAGTATGAAGGCAATGGAGAAATGTGAAGATGGTTCCAGAGAAGCGAATGTACCTCTGCTAAACAAAAGTGACTAAGCAGATAACTCTTAACTCAAAGCGAGAAGAGTAAGGTAGCTCATGACTAATGTAAATTTAACAGCCTAATTGGGAAGAAACGATTGGTAGAATCGATTCATTAAGGCTTCACATCGAGTCAATAGAGGCTTTAGACAACATACAACAGCATGCTTCTAGGACACTTAGCTAATACATAGATAAAGAATGTTATACCTGCCCTATCACACGAATTTGTGCCTCCATGATCTTCTTAAGATATTTTTGGTGTGTTGAAATTTGTGAAAATAAAAGAAATAAAAATAAACATAAATAAAATAATTTTTGTAGTTTGAGATTTTCTGAAAAAGAAATAAAAAAAATATTTTTGAATTTTTGAATTTTTGAATAAAATAGAATAATGTACAAATGAAAATAAATTAATGTCAAACAAAACAACAAAAATAATAATAATAATAATAATAAAATTAGATGATGCGAATTAGGGCGAATGTTCGTGCCAATTCGTGTCCCGAAAAAATCGGAAACAAATTAGAGCGAGCGTTCGTGCCAATTCGCGTGACAAAAATAAAATTGAAAGCGAGCAAAAATTATTTGATGCGAATTAAGGCGAACGTTCGTGTCAATTCGGGTCCCAGAAAAATCGGAAACGAATTAAAGCGAGCGCTCGTACCAATTCGCGTAACAAGAATAAAAACGAAAGGATAACAAATATATTTGAATTTTTGGATTTTTCAAACAAAAGATTTTTGAAGTTTTGAAACATTATACATAAAGTACAAAAAGGATATTGGTTAAACCGAACCACAAATGAACAGTGGACAGCGAGTCTCTACGAGCGTTCGCATCGATTCGCGTCAACAACTTTATTAAAGCGAAGGTGGTTTCGGTATAGATTCAGCTTCCATCATTCCTAGGAATTGAAGAATTATGTTGAAGGTTGTTTCAGGCAAGGCTTTTGTGAATATGTCAGCCAACTGATCAGCGGATCTCACGTAGTGAATTTCAACGTTGCCGTCTTCTTCGTGATCCTTGATGAAATGATACCTCAGTGCTATATGTTTCGTCTTTGAGTGTTGCACTGGGTTGTGACAAATGTGAATAGCACTTTCAGAGTCATAATATAGTGGGATTCGTTTCATGCTTAAGCCATAGTCACGAAGCTGACTTTGAATCCAAATGACTTGAGATGTACATGAGGCAGCAACAATATATTCAGCTTTAGTTGTTGACAAGGACACACACGTTTGCTTCTTGGATTGCCAACTGACAAGTTTGCCATCTAGAAATTGACATCCTCCAGTTGTGCTTTTTCTATCTAATCCACATCCCCCAAGGTCAGCATCTGAAAATGCTTGTATGAAGAATCCTGATTTCGTAGGGTACCATATGCCAAGTGCTGAAGTTCGTTTCAAGTATCTGAAGATATTCTTGACGGCCACCATATGAGGTTCGTGTGGATTTTCTTGGAACCTAGCACAATAACAAACGGAAAACATAATATCTGGTCTACTAGCTGTTAGATACATCAATGATCCTATCATTTGACGATAAAGGGTCATATCAGCAGCTGGTTTTTCCAGAGATGGTGTCAGTTTCGTTCCGAATGCCATTGGAACCTTCACTTTAGAGTCTCCCACCATGCCAAACTTAGTTAGTAAGGTCTTCGTGTATGCTTCTTGATTTATGAAAATGCCTTCTAGTCCCTGTCTTATATTCAATCCAAGGAAAAAGTTAATTGGACCCATGGAGCTCATCTCAAAGTTTGTGTTCATCAATTTTCGGAATTCAGCTGTTAAGCTGGGATTCATAGAACCGAAAATGATGTCACCAACATAAATTTGGATGATCATCAAGTGGTCTCCGTCTTTCTTCCGAAAGAAGGTCGGGTCAACCGAACCTTGTTTAAATTTATACATTTTAAGAAAACGAGTGAGATTTTCATACCAGGCTCTCGGAGCTTGCTTCAGACCATAGACTGCCTTATCCAAGATGTAGCAGTGATTGGGTACCTCTCATTAACGAACCCATGTGGTTTTTCCACGTATACAGTCTCTTCTAATT